AAAGCCTAATGGAACGTGTCAGTGTATTATTTCTGAAATTTCTGAATCTCCTAGCATTTACTCAGTTATCTATTGTGCTTTTATATTACATGTCATGATATGTATTGTTCCAGAGCAGTGCAATATCACTTATTTTTGTTGTAAGACAGCGCTCACGCACGCGTGCACACATTTGTGTTTTCATAACTTTTGGGTACACCACATTGACTTACATGCATTTCCTGGACAGTTACCCTCAGCATAACCACTACCAACCAAATCCTAACAATTACCCTAACCTTAACTTTTTAAACAAATCTTAACCCTAAAATGTAATGATTAACATTATGCATTTGTCCGGGTAGGAAGGCGGTTCCACACAATATGACCTAGTAAACCGATTAATGTTACCACAAGATGGTTAAAACAGACATGTTCTGACATTTAAAGGGAATGTTCGACATTTTGTGAAACACGTTTACTAGCTTTCTTGCCCAGAGTTAAATGAAATTGATAGCAAACAGCCACGAGAGTGATAAGCATGAAGCTACCGCCAACAGCCAGTCGGCTTGGCACAAACATTGAAACAGGGGAAAACAACTAACCTGGCTCTATGTGGAGGTAACACCAGCTCCGCTAAAGCTCACGAAGAAACTTATCATGTCTTGTTTATTTAATCCCTATTAAAACGAAGAGTAAAAATGCCCAATAAATTGTCCTACACATAGATAGCTAATAAGTGAGGGTTAGAGGTGCTGGTAGGTGGATTTTGATGCGGACGGAGCCAGGCTTTCTTTTCCCCTTGCTTTAGTTTCATTAGCCGGCTGTAGCTTCATCAATCCTTTCATCTATCTCTCAACAAGAAAGCACATAAGCATATTTCCCAAAAATGTTAAAATGATTACTTTAAAAGGTAAAGCAATGGAAAGTAATCCCATTCAAACCCTGTTTATCTGCTGAAAGTCAAATCTTGACAGCACCCTTTACACGGTAAGCTTTGGCTGCGGCTCCAACCTCAGGTTTGTTAGGGGGGTTGATGCTGTGTGTGTGTGTGTGTGCGTGCGTGTGCATGGGTCGACCTTGGGAGCACTGCTGGGTGCCATTGATTTGTTTACCTGTGCACTGCTGACAGTTTCTCATTAGGTTTCTTTTGCACAACACTTCCAGGAGAGGAGACCAGAGTCTGCACTTCACAGCCGACGATGCGTGATCAATGTACCTGATAGATTGGTGCTGGCAATATAATTCTGTTGAATGGCCGTTTAATGGGTGTGAGCGCTCCATTTAGTAGCCACAATAAGGTGCCTTTAGTGACTGAAGCAGCATTGTTATAGGCTGCACGAGGAGGAAAACAATATCATGAAAGAAAAGCTTTGTTAAAAATACTTTGGAAGACAGAGGAGACCGTTTCATTCCACTTGTATTGCAGATTACTGAAAGTATTTGCAAAGTTCAAGAGAAAATGCAATTTAACATCATTAGGACTTTTTGGCATTTTTCTTTCAGATAGCGAGCACAAGGTTTGTAAAAGCTTTTAAACACGAGTTAAACAGAGGGTAAATAAAGACAAATGACATGACATGACATGAAAACATGTTCTCCTTTATTTGTGGACCTCTTCAAACACTGTTCTCATTTCGTTGTGACCCATTAAAAGTATTTTCCCCAAATATCTGCAATCGTGGATCGACACACGGGAAAAGAAAACACGTTTGAATCACTACAATGATGCTTTTACTGGCATAGCTTAACACAAACTCCACCATTTACTGCATAGCTTTATGATAATGAACTGGTCGCCAACTTTCAGTCTCCAACAGTGTTTTATTTCCAACCCCCTTCTTTTCCAATAGGATTCTACTTGTAAAAAATCCTTATTTTCTCACATGAACGCTTTCTGTCTTCTTAAATATTATGACATGGTCACAAGGAGGCAGTGTTGCCACTCTCCTAGCGCCGGAATGTGGTGACAGGAGGAATCCACTTATTTAAGGTGTTAAAAGTGCTCCTGATTTGCCACTGTAATCCCGCCATTTAACCAAAACAAAGCAGAAACACGGCGAAGGGAATCCCAGTTCATGTTCTCTCTGTGACACATGAAGGTCTAACTACTCCTCAGGTGACAACACCCCAACGGCATGATCTCGCTGAGAAGGGAATTTACGAAGACTGGAAGCTGACAGGACAAATGTTTGCATTGAAATCAGTCAGGATTTACAGCAAGTCACGTGGAAGACTTGGTAGATCCCTGCCTCTTGTTAAGAGGGAGAAACATTGACTCTGAATGCAGAAGTGTGCAGGCATAATAGCATGGGTGTACATACCATATATGACACCCCGGGGCGGTGCACAGGCTGTGTGGTTCTACGTGGAAGTCAACATCATATTTAGTGGGCTGGGACAGGCTGAGGGGCGAGAAAGGGGGCAGCCATTCTCTAATGATCAAAATAACACTTTGTCAATGTAATAGCCCACTGTTCTTCATTCCTTACACCCACCTGACAGAACATTTCTCACGGCTTTGTTTACACCGGTGCTGCTGCCCTTGTGGCCGGCTGTGACTTATATATAAAAAATGTTGCCCCGTACGCCATGATTTCACTGCGATTGATGTATTGCCATCACTTAGCGAATTCCCTCTGAAAACAAACGTCTTGAGGAAGACGTATAGGCATGCGACTTTGATTCAAACATCAATGACAATGTGAGGTTTTGTTTATGATGACGGGGCACAACAGATGGCAAGCATATCTATAAATAAGTCGCTCTTCTGAATAGGGGATTAGTGCATTTGAGCCGCTTTTTTAATGGTCTCGCGGAGAGATTAAAAAGTAAGCTGATTCATAATGCGTTTCTCTTTGCGGTGAATCACTGATAAACGAGAGTCTGGAAAGAATCTGCGGAACAAAGAAAAAACACTCAGATAAACATGCATTTGACAGGAAGTTACATGAATAAAGATGTAACATGTAATATGTCTTCTCTGCATGGCTGCAATTTGAAGGATCTTACAACATTACCAGGTGCATCACTTATCATGTATCAATTATTAAAAAAAAACATTTTCATAGCTTTACAAATAACACGCCGTCTCCATTCTGCCCTTGCATCTAGATTACCGAAGACCTCCCAAACTGCAGACCTCAACAAGCAAGGTCTGCATATTTCCACCCATTTTTTTCCATGCACACTATTTATATGTATGTATGCATACATTAAAATGGAACATCATTAATGCTGAGGGCGATTATTCTAGAGCACAAATCAAACCACAAAATAGCCAATAGCACATTCCAAAGTTCACGGAGAATAGAACGTTGAAAAATATACATAAACCCATCTCGGTTTTAGCCTCTGGGTCACGTTTTCTCCAAGTTATTGAAATAGAAATGTTCATCTCAATTATATAACCACTGCTGATCAGCCTACAGATAGCCGCCCACCTGAGGCGGCCTCAGCATCCTCCACAAATATTGACAGAATCCTTATCTATTTTTTTTCCACATTTTCTTACAGAAATGAAGCTTGTATGCCTTTAAACATCCCAAATTCCTCACAAAGACACTTTAGCATTTATTGTGTGCTTCCAGGAACTGAAAGGCTTCGGCTGTCTGATAAAGTAGATTTGCGGCTGTAGCTTTGGATATCTGCTGTCTGGATAAACTCTTGTATCTGCCTTTTAATGACACTAGTGTCAGTGTCTGTTATCTGTTGCAAAACTGGAGACTCGCCAAGTTTGTCCCTGCTTTTTGTTGCGCATGTGTTTTCTCAACAACAGGGTTGTCTAATTTAATTAATTCATAAACATGCTCTGAAGAAACGCATTGCTTGACCTATGAGAAGGTGAATGGATTTCCTGAGAACTATTGACATGTTGTCCTAACAAGGAAAAGGAACCTAAGGAGTCACGCGGTCCTAATCAATTACTTTAATGAAAGAGGCAATTATGTTCCCTCTTGAGATGTTCCAGTTACTTTACTGTACCAGCTTATTTCAAATACGACGGGTGAACTGTACCACTATTTAGATGCATCTGCGTAGATATTTTGGGACAGCTGGCCTGGGGACACATTGATCCAGGGCCCAAAAAACCCAACATTCCCTGTGAGTCGGTTTTTGGTAATTAACTTCCAAAATTGCAAATGTAGATTTTCTAGCTAATCATTCATTTTGTGAACTCTAATAAGTTAATAGGTTTCATGATTAGTGATGCTGTTTACGCCGAATTCCTACCTATATGTATGTAACGCAAGTTAAAGTTTCTCAATACTTAAACGGTGCTAACAGGGCAAACTACGGCAAAAGTGCTGACAGGGCTAACAACTGAGGGGGAACTGGAGGGTGGATGTTACACTTCTGTTACAAATCGTTTTAGGCATGCAGGAGTAACAGTTCAATGAAGACAATTTCATTCAAAATAGAATGTGGACTCTACATGATGTTTTTCCCAAATGAGCAGATTTTCTGGCATTTCATTTTTAGATTGCTTGGACAAATAGCTCACATAGCCGTCTTAAAAAATCTTTCCTGGGGTGCATGCTCCTGGACCTCCCTTGGTCTGGGCTAAGCCCCGAATGTTTACAAAGTCTGGCTCTGCCCCTGTCAGGTAGTTTGCCAGTATCGGAGTACTGGTTGGGTCTTTGTCTAAAATATAATAAAAGCTACCATAATGTACAACAGTTCTTTTAATCTGGCTCACCATCACACCTGTCCTGTAATTGGTCCTTGCGTGGATGATGTGAATCATGTTAAACAGCATATGTTCTTGTCTTATTGTGTTGCTTCTTTACAAAGTCATGGGAGCTCCAATGAGATGCGCAGCCGTAGAGATTCCGTGTAATATTAGCATTACATACACGTTAGTTTGAATGCTGGCTCATCAACCGCAGACACTATCCCCGCAGCACCGCGGACAGTTCCGTAGTGTTGGCCCGCCCCTTTCACGGGCTGCGTGTCGCGCACGGCGACCAATAGCCGCCGCTTCCTCACTCCAGCACTGGATGCAGCGAGCGTGAGCTTCAGAGAGTCTGTCCACCCAGAGAGGAGAGGGAACCTCACACCGGCTGTGATGCGTATCGGGGCTCTGCTGGCTGAACAACACTTCGTTGGGATAAAACCTCCCGGTCACATTTAATTCATTTATTCTGCGTGTCTGTTTGTGCGCACGTGTGTGCCGCGAGGACTGAGAAATGCTCTTGTAGCGCGAGTGCGAATGACAATATCGCCCCGTGAGTTTACAGAAATATCCGGCGGAGCCCTAACTTGGAGCCGTGTGGACGTCTAACAAGTTTTGCTTTTATTATTGACTTGAATCACATTTGAGTCGATTACTTGGAGCCCGAAGCCCTGCGCGAGATGGAGAACGAAAAGTACTTGCCGGAGCTTATGGCAGAGAAGGACACGCTGGATCCGTCTTTTCAGCACTCCCTGCGGCTACTGGATCAAGGTAAATGTCGGTGTTTAACAACTGAAATAAACAGTTTAGCTGCGTGAAAACAGTTTGAGTCCATCACACACGGTTCATGTTTAACGCTTGGTGTTGGGCTGCAGGCTATGACTCCACCAGCCCGCCTACTTCAAGTTATAAATAAGAGGTTTTTGGGTCGACTTACAATTTCCTGTTTGGTCACACCAAAATAGCGAGGTCCTTTTAACAGCATGGCTGCTTTGCCAAGTTGTTATGCAGCAAGCGTGTCATAGCCAGCCCGGTGTGGTGTAGAAATCAGTAGCAAAAAAAAAACAAGCAGGTGTGACTGAAGTAGGAACAGCCCAGAGATTAACAAACTATTTGTTTCAAGTGGACAAGTTTGGGAGATGAGACCATGAAAGAGGAAACCTTTACCTCCAAATGAGGCTTTTGTTGCTGGTTTTAATCCGGCATGATGCTGAACATTTTTAGTAACTGATGGCAAAGTTTATATTTGCACAGATTTTTCACCTATTATGAAATCACAGCCAACAGTCTAGGGATGGAAGTGGCAGTGGAACACTAAAACCACCTAACATCCCAGTTTGCAGTCCTCTCTATCCCGTGCAGACATGTGTAAGCTGTGGCGCAAGCGGGTGGGGGGGGGGTGGGGGGGGGTGGGGGGGGGGGGATAATCACACTCTTATTCAAATGTACATGTGTTTCCTCCTTTGAAGAAGTGGACGTGACTGAAATGGAATTTTGAACGGATGGAGCAGCAGCGGCAGCAGCACTCGTAGACGCTTTAATTAATCCGTTGCACGGCCCTCTGCTTTGAAGCCGTCAGAATTTTTGCACTTCTTCAGACGCAGCCCCGTGGATCCCCTCATGTGGGGAAGTACACTGTTATAGCATCCAAGTGCATCCTTAAGTACCACTCGTGGGCTTTGTCTAGAGTCTGGCACACTGTTGTTTGCTTTAGGGGGAGCAGAGAAGGAGCACTAGTCTGTAAACAGTCCTGCTGCACTGTAACTAATTCTATTGACCCCCCAGATGCAGCTCCAGCAACGAACTGTTTTCTTTTACTCAGACAGCCATGTCCCTTCTGGCCCATGCCTTCCAAACTTGGCTCCTCAAGGGTTCCTTAAAATGGTTCCAAAGGGGCCCCTGCAAAGTGAGGCATGGTTTAATTTGAATGGTGTTTACTTTCTGGAGTTTAGTTTGGTGACAAACAGAATCTGGATATTCCGTCACCTTCTGAACCTGCAATACCAATACACAGTTGATTGTTTTCATCATTGTTTAATCTGCTGATTACTTTGATCAATTGATTGGTTAACCATGAAGTCTAGGACAGAGTGAAACATAGACTTGCATTTATAAAGCGCCTTTCTAGTCATCCGACCAGTTCAAAGACATTCAGTTTACAATAATTAGTTTACAATTGTATGAATAAAGAAGCAAATCCTCACAATTGTTAAGCTTGCACTTATATTATATATAATATATAATATATTTCGCATCTTTGCTTAAGAAATAAGCTAAACATCAGGCTAATCGATTAGGAAAATCGTTGATTAATCTTCTGCCGATCGACTAATTGATTAATTGAATGAATAACTGAATCATTTCATCTCATCACAGATGCAAAAACGTTCCACTCTATTGTCAGATTTAATCATATTTGTTTGGGTTTTGAGGTCAAATTAATTACATTTTGAAATTGTTGGGAGTTCCTGACATTACACTCCTGCTCTTTCCTCAGATGGCCTATATCATAACTATAAAGTGACACATCATCTACTGTAGTATTAGAATTAAACAAGTAAGAGCCAACCATCATACAGTAGGCCCATATTTGAATGTAGTGATGTGTAAAATGAAATGATTCTTCACTCTTTCAGTGTGTTGGAGTAATGGAGGTAATGGCCTCGATGATATCAGGTGCAGATTGAAGTCTTTTTTTGAGAGAACGGACCGTAGGTTAATGCATCTTGCAGTGAGCCGATCCACATACAGTAAGGTAAATCCATTCCAGTCCATGAGGAAGATAATGCTGTGCTTTACTCAGCACTTTTTCTTATCAGCTGGTTTCGTTACTCAAATCTGGGTTAGTCTTTTTTTCCCTCATCTTCTAAGAACACATTCGCCTCAATGAGAAAAAGACCGGAGCACTGAATACGTTATGCAAAGTTTCCTTCCCACCAACCACTTTCTTGACAGCAACTCTGCTAAAGTTCTTTATCCACACTGCAATAGGTATGTAGAGTTATTGCAAATATTTGCTATTCCAATTCAAAATGTAATAAAATTGATGGAATACTTTGAACATAAGGCCGGAGAAGCAAATACAAGAATATAGGACTAAATGTTTCCCCCCGTGTTTCAATTCCAATAGATTCAACTAACGCAAGTTCTTGGTATGAACCTTCCAATAAAGTTAAGTTTGTGATATTTCTGGTGGGGGCAAAAAATTGCAGTTGGACACAGAAGTAATCCGTGACATTTTATGAAGTAAGCAGAACTCTGTGGTGCAGAAAATTTGGCCGAAACAGTCTGCCACAACTCCAAAACATTAAATACTGTTATCTCTCTCTTACACAACAGATGGGACACGATGCAGCTTAATAGAGCACTTCTTCTGCCATCTTGCTGATGAGTTCTGGACTTGATTATGCAATTGGCAGGGGATGCAGGGAACAGCGCTAGAGTAACTAGAGTTACTGTGTGCAGACGGCGAATACGAGATTACTCCAGGTCTGCAGAGAATTCCATTCAGGAGAAATTAGGGGAGCATTGTTTTCGAAGCTCGGGGGGGGGGGGGGGCTGCTTTGATAAATTCGGGCTCCTATCCCTCAAGGACCATATCTCTGCCCCTGTGACAAGCCTCATACAGTCGGCAGAAGACACTGGGAGCTGGAGAAATATCTTAAGCCAAAATAAGAGACGAGCAGGACCAGCAGCCTACATGGAAGGAAAAATCCTCAACAGCATACTAATGAAGGGCTTCTAGGTATGAAGACAAGTCGGCTGGCATGAAGTGCATCCGTTATGTACATTATATCGGTTGCTACAGCACGTGGGGGTACAAGGGCTGCAAATAACACTCATTTCAGAAATTTGTTTTTAGTCTTATTTTAAATTCATTCTTGACCTTGGGAAAAGTACTTTCACAGAAAAAAAACTTTTGTGCGGTTAGTTTATTTAAAATTCAAATTACCATTCTAGTTTTGGAATAACAAAACAAAAATCAATCTGACCCATTACCGTCCTGGTCACCCTAAGCCCTGATGCTTCCGTTGTTGTCTTCGCTAATGCAAAATGGATGAAACTACTGAAAGTTCCAATACCAAAGAGTGGAATGTGTGGAAGAGTTGTGCATAAAACTAAGACATTTGCTGACTTTGTCAGATTCAACAGCCTTACATTAGCTTGTAACTTACGTGAGGCAGCGGAAGCAATACTACAGTTTTACTACAACATATGTTAGGATTAGGCTTTGTTGGTTGTGTTCAAATTAGTTTAAATACATTCAAACAAGTTCGTTTTCAACAATTCACACATTTAAGAAGTATACAATGAAGACTTAATCAAAAACCAATCCCAAAGATATCTGAAATATTGTAAAACATATCTAAATTAGTTCTATGTTACATAGAAGGAAACGTTAACGTGAAGCATTAGGAAACAAACAAAACTAACGGGTGTGGTAAGGACCCAGAAGCAGTACGACGGACACACGGAATTGATGAACGAAGCTTTATTCTAGGCAGAAGAGACAACAGGCAAACAGTCTCGGATCAGCTCACGTGAAGAAATCCACTCGGTGGAAGGCCAAGCCATCAGGGGAGAAGGGAGAAGGCAGACAGAAACCAGAGGCTATTCTCGTGGACAGAAGGCGATGCCGATTTACCGGGGCAGAGGCAAGGCGGAGATGTCCAAACAGGCAGGGTTGGCAACAGGAAAACAGTCGGAGGGTAACCGCGGGAAAGTCTGGCATAATGCGGAGAACGATCTGGCAGTGAGTGTGTGTGAGACTGGTGTGTAAATAGTAGGTGCCGCAAAGTGGGCAGGTGAGAGTGATTGAGCTGATGAGGTGGGTGTGACTAACAGGTGCCCTGAATGAGCTGATTAGGTGAGCGAGAGATAGAGTGGAAACTGAACTGTGACAAAAACAAGGACTTTCACTGTTGTGTCCTGTGTGAAACTAAAAGTAACGTTGAGTCAATGCTTTTTATGTAACGCTGTCATATTTAATGCTGTTGTACTTAACACTGTTATACTTAACGCTGATGTACGTGATGTTGTAGGCCTATGTGGCGCTGTTGTGCGCAACGCTGTTGTGCGCAACGCTGTTGTGTAGAACTATGCTACTTTGTGTTTGAGTGTGTCAAGAAGCAAGATAATTAATTACATTTCATCTTATGATTTAATTATTATGATTAGTTTCTCTTAGTTTCACTCCCACATCATTCAGACAGAATGTAAAAAGCCATTAATCAGATTTTTCAGATTATCACATGTTAATGACTTATCATCAGAATGTAATCCATTGCTTAACATTGTGGGTGAAGTTGTGTAAACAATAGCACGTTAAAAAGTAAAGTTCCAGCCTGCACCAGATGTATTCTGTTTGTTCAGTGTGTGGATGCAGAGCAGTGTGCAGCCCACTCTGAATCTTTCAGGACCTCTGGCCCAGTTTGAACGTTGTAACCTCAGTGCTGCACAGACACTCTATGTATCTAGTGCTTTTTAATTGGATATTCCACAGCAGGAGCCCGGCACAATGTTTGCATTGAATTAGCGTCCTCGGCTACCTTACCCCGCAAAGAAAAAGATTAACAACAACAACAACAACAACAAAACATACATTATCTGCACAGACTGAGCAGGTGGGGGAAAGTATCCTCATTTCAGACATGATGCCCGATTGCTAATTCATATATTTCCATCTCATCAACAAAACAGAGGGGTATTTTTAGCCGTGCTTCAGTTTTGCCCCGAGTGGGAGAAGTTCCTGGGTAAGAATGCCCAGAAGT